GCTGCATGGGAACGATGCAATGGGGTAGAAGTCTATTGCGTAGCCACGGGGACAATCCCCGCCTGTCGCCACTACGAGTTCTTTCGAGCGGCGCTTTTTCGCACCCTCTCCTCCTTCTATCGCGACTACCTCGCCTCCCTCCCTCGCAGCGGCGATCACTTCCCTCACTTCCACCGGATCATCCGATATGAGGAGCTTCCGGTAACGATGGAAGGGATGAATCGCTACCTTCCCCCACTTCCTCCACGCCGTCCTCGTGAGATCCCCCCCATGTACCGACTCTACTGGTCCATTCCAACTAGGAGGTAGATCCCGATCACGTGACTATTCCCCCTCCCCTTCCTCTCTTCATCTAATCGGCAGAGGAAAACGGCCCGAATCAGTAAGCTACGCGAAGATCACACCTACGCTCTGATTCGACGGGCAGCGATAAATTGGGGTGCAGAGCACACGGAGAACCGGCGGACGATGATGGCGTCACCTGGATGACCATCGATGATTCTAGCTGCACGAGCCCACAAAAGATTACAATTGAAGTTGGCGTCAACATGGACTCTGGCCGGATCATTTGTTAATACGCTTGGTTCCTCATGCATCACTTTATTCTCTCCCTCTCTCTCTTCTTCTCCACCATGACATGCAATCAGGAGATCGCATAATTTTGGAACCCCCTGCGCGTCACATATGTGACGAACTACCTCCCGAACCCGTGCTATCTTTCGTACCCTTTCTTTTGCTTGTATCATATCAACCCCATAAAAAACCCGCTTCGTTTTCTTGATTCGGGTGCCGCATTTTTTGCCCCCATCTTTTGGAAGCTTTTTCGATTCTCGGGTTCTGCTTTTCCTTTTTGCAATTCGGGAAATACCTAGGAAATTACGTACGCCTTAGCGAGCGCACTGGGAATTGGGTCCGACAGTTGAGAATTCCAGGATAAGCGAAACATCGACGCATCCTTTTTGTGTGTGAATATTCTTGGTCGCGTTGGGGAACACTCTCAAAATTTTGTATGCGAATACAAATAGACGTAGGATTTTATTTTCCCGCGCCGCTTTTTCGCGCGCGGATATGGTGATTTCAATTTTTGAATTAGGACAGAGGCAAGCTGTAACTGTTTCGGTGCCTTTTTCTATCTTTTTGTTGATGGCGCCGCACATGCAAAAGCTTTCTCCTCTCTGTCCCCCGCATCACTCCCTCCCCTTTCTCCCTCCACTTTCTCTCTCCTCGTAACCGTTTTTTTCTCTCTCTCACTCTCCCGCCTTGCTTTTTGCGCGCGTATTTCCCTTTCTTGATCATCTGAATCTTAGACCCGTCTTGCGCCACTTCACGCGCCTTTTCTCTTCTCACCCTCTGAGTCCAGCACATGATGCCCGGTCGATCCTTCGATAACTCCCGCTCACCAATCAGGTGCGTGGATCAATAGGATCTTCCAATTGCGCGACGAATCTGATTGGTTGAACCTTAAGTTTCGAAGGATCAACGTGGCTTCCACGGAGCGCTCTTCTCAAAGTCTTTTCCTCCTGCTTCTTTCCCGACACTTCGACTTTCCCTCTGCCTTCTCTCTCCCTCGCCCCCCTTCTCGCCACTATAAATTCCGCAAACGCGCCTGCAAAACTCTCTTACGTTCTCGACTCCTGAGCCAGCTTCCGGGAAGTAGTGGCTAGGCAGAGTGTTTGGTGCGAGTCGCAAAGTCATGTCGGGCTCACGATAGGCTGATCGGTTGCGCGCTGGATCGCCACGACGGACTGTGGGATCCGGGCGAGCCGTGTCGAGTTTACGTCAGCGGGGTAACAATCGCAGTGGTGGGAGTTGGCACGTGACGGCCGGGACCGTCGGTGCAGGTATGGGGATTTATGATCGGAGTTGAGTGAGTGATTGGCCCGGGGCCATATTGGAATTAACGACGAATGCGCCTTTGTGGTTGTGAATCTTTATCTCTAGCGTGAGTGTACGGCGGCAACGTCAAACTCCCTTTCTTCGGATCTTGTTATTCTCTCTCTCGACATTCTTCCCTCATCTCCCCCCCTTCTCCTCTATCTTTGAATGATGATGTGTCTTGATGTCTTTCTCTCTCTCTCTCTCTCTTGAATGAGAATGGGTCGGCATGATGTTTTGTGTGAAAGAACTTCTTCCGGAACTCATCCATTAGTTTCCTAGGTAGTCCCCCTATGCAAGAACCCTTATTTCTTGTCTTGTGAACGGTGAATGCGTGTGTATTGTTCCGATCCATCCTTTTTGTCTCTGCGCATATCTCATTTTCGCACCTTCCAGGCTTCCACAGTGAATGAATGTATGGAGATCCGCGTTTCTCTGCGTTGATTAGATGATTGTTGTTGGGATTTTGTTCGAGAATGCAAGAGTGTTTAGATCTGTAGCTTTGAATGTACTGCGCATGTCATCTGCTGCACAACAACAGCACCCGAGCCACAGGGCAGCCCCAAGAAACAAGGCGCCTCGGATCAACGTCGCGCTGGCTCACTAAGCCCGAGCCGCGGGCCGGTCCGCTAGTTACATACATGATCAAGCTAATGAGTGTTCTCTCTCTCTCCCGTGTAGAGAAGGATTGATTGGGGGAGGGGGGGGGGGGGCGCGAGTATTTTCTTTTCTTAATGACGTCTCGAGGTTTTTCCAATTGATGGATATGTGGACTGACAAGTACCCTCTGATCGGGCACCAGCCTCCCACACCTCCCGTCTCAACATAGCCTTTTCCCTACAACGAGGAGAGGACACGTGTATGCGAGTGGGACGTACGAGAAGCCGTTGCACAAATCGACGGACGGTACTACTTCCCTCCGGCAAATCGTTGTTCAGGGTTCGTAGAGGCCGGGTTTGTCATTATCGATACGCACTTCCCACCTTACTCCATATTGTCAGTAATTTGTTACCATTCAACGAGTTGATTGTCATCTCGTGGACGGCAGTAGAATCTCACTGACCGCGCACTCTATGCACCGAATGTCAGCGTTTTGAGCGCTACGAATCCAGGGGTTTCCACTACCGTGTGCGGAGTGAAGACGAGCATAAAGAAAGAGCCACGCGGCTGAGACCATCCACGTCAGACTTAGAACTGACCAGCGAACGACGACGAAACTTGATACGAAAACGGGACACGCAAAGCGTGCCCAAGCCCTTTCGCTCTAAACGACAGGCTGTAGCACGGTGGGAAGCTCGACAATACTTTTTGGATTAAATTTGGATCTTTCTTTTTTCGCGCCATGACCGCGCGCGCATTTCGCAACGCGCGAAAGCAACCGACTTACTTCATCGGACCAGCACGGGGGATTTCACTTCCGTCTGTGTCCTCACACTCAATTTCCAAAAATCCTTGGCACACCCCATCTTGCTGTTTTTCTGGGCCTCCTTCCGCACATCTAGCACTCCGAACGAAAGACAGCATAGGGCGTGAGGTTTCCTGTGCGTCAATGATGAATCGTGATTCCCCCCCCCGTCAATGACGGCGCAAAACTCCCATACCCACGGACCTCAACCCATAGTCGCGTTGAATCCGCTGATGCCATAGCGGCAAAACATGAGAAACCCTTGCAGCATCATCCAATTTATTTGAAACGTCAACGCCACGCTCCGATGTTGGACCGTCAAAGGTAAACAACACGAAACTCGTAGCGAGGTACTAGACCTACTAGTATTACCTATACTATTCGAACTCTCGTCAATTCGACCAAACTACAACTGTTACGACTCACTTACTACATGATGGTCCCTCGCTTAAATCTCAATCCTCGTCAGTCCTACTACGAACAAGTCCCAAGTCCAAACAAACAGTCTAAAGGGCTGGTCCCTGGTCCCAATGAGACGAGGTAAGAACCCTTTTTTTTTTTTTTTTTTTTTTTTTAAGAACCATCCAACAGATGAACGGGTGCCACTTTATAAAAATGATAAGTTGTTCCTCATCTTCGACCACTAAAGATCATAATTCTGATCGACATGGACGTGCTGCTCCCCACGAATAGATAGGAGCGTGTCAAAAAAAAAAAAAAAAAAAAAAAAAAAAAGACCGTTATGATTGACCGCTCAGAAAGGAAATCATTATAAGGTTATACCAAGACGACGCATGATATACAAATTAGAATCGAAAACTAGAATCTCAAACAAAATTAAATGACAGAGTCTCAAGGCATAGTCACACTAGCTCTAGCTTAAATGTATTTGACCGCATTTCCGGCAAGACCTAGATGCATCTGACTGCGATTGCATCCATAAATAAGTTTAAAAAGTCGTTAGATCTCTGAACTACGCCATTAGCATTCAATGATGGAGTCCACCTTCGTATGTAGGTATTCTTAAGAGATAGGAGATCATCAGGCGGAATGCATACGATAGGAAGTGCTATATAGTTCAGACATCCACGTTTCCTAAGCCAACTGTATAAAGAGTTCTTCGTATTAGAGACATCATTTGTCCGCTATACGTGCTCGTTCCAGCGCTCAAACAGTCGGCGGGAAGTCTGTCCTATATAAGTTGCCCTACATTCTGGGTTAATTCGAACATATAAAGAAGATGTTGGATCCTCCTAGTTTCCGATGTCTTTATCAATTAGGTGACTCCAATTACTAAGGAACCTCTCCCGCCACTGGAGTTCGCCGTTAATTACCAGTAAAACCACAATTAGCCTTAGCACACGTTCAAGTATAGCTCTAACATTTTTAATACCTATTATACTATGTTTAGCTAGTACTTTACATAATTTAAGCATATCCTGTAAATCAATCCATATCTCCTTCGTCCGTCAGATCAGTACTCCCGTCCCTATTGCCAGGGGTACGTGGCTGCCTTGATACATTTGTTGGTTCCCTAATGACAACGCCCCTTTGACGTGGTGTCATCAGTGCTGCAGGCGGTCTTCTGAAGAAGTACATTGTTCTTAATTCCACCAGTTCATCCACCGCTTCAGGTCGACCTCTGTATTCCACACCAGCTTCCTTGCACATCTCTTGCAGGGTAGGCACAATTTTTTTACCTAGGAACTTCCGGATCAGGTTTCGGAAGTTAGCTTCATTCTTGCTACTAGTCCCTATTGGTGCACCCTCCCATAGTGCTGATTCATAGGTAGGGAATTCTACATATCATTTTGTGTTCTTCCCCGCCCTTTAAATGGTTGCTTCTCTGTAGTTAGGCCTATCTCAATCACTCTCGCCAGTTCTTCATCTTCTTGAGGGTTGGAGCTCCCTACCTTTGCTGGACTTTTTGCCTGTGGACTTGTATGAAGGCCAGACGTCTGACCCTGATGTCTCTTGCGCTTCTCCAGACGATCTTCATTAACCTCCTCCTCCTCTTCTTCCTCAGACTCGACTGGTGACTGGATGTTCACCTTCGCCTTAGCCTCCACCATTCTTCCAGTCACAACCGCTCCCCTCAGTCTTGCTTCAAGCATTTTCTCAAACCCTTCCTTCAACATCTCCTTGTTTTTCGCTAGGCTAAGCATCGTTTCAACCCTCCAATCTCGTTTTACCTCCTTATCCTCCTTTTGTTTCTCTTTCTGAATCTCTAATCTATTTAACTCCTCCCTTGCTGCTTTCTCCTCCTCCTCCTCCTCCTTCTTCTCTTCCCTCTTTGTTTTCTCTCGTTTCTCTTCCTCCTCTTTCTGCATTTGCTTTTGCACGAAAGTTACCATCATCTTCAAAGGTTCCTATATTTCCAAGTTTAGTACCGCTTGTTGTTGCACAGCTCCTGCAGCCCCCGAGCTTGTACTCGCAGAACGCACGTCCGTTAGTCATGGTGCTTGCTGGCTCGGCTGGACGTTATGGCCGTTCTGAGAATTGTTCATGCACTCTCTCGAAATATGTCCATACTGCCCGCAGGTATAGCATTTCGGTCCCCTTCCTCTTCCTCCTCCATCATAATTCCAGTTTCCTCCACCGTTATTCCACCCACTTCCATTGTTCCAACCATTGCCTCCATTATTCCACCCGTTCTGCCCTCCTCCATTTCTATTCCATTTCCTCCTCCATTCCCATTCCATCAATTTCCTCCTCCGTTCCCATTCCATCCATTTCCTCCTTCGTTACCATTCCAATGATTCCATCCTCTTTGTCCGCCGTTCCATCTTCCATGTCCACCACTCCCCCCCCGACCATTCATTCCCTTGTTGTAATCCTTGTTGTCGTCCTGTTCCAAAATTAAATCCTCCAACACCTCCTCCATTGGCATTGTTTCCTTGTCCTTGAAACCCTCCATTCGAGCTCATTCTTCAAGCTTATCCTACTCCGTAACAGTCTTCCAATACAGATGCCGATGCTCGAACTCAACGCCAAACTCTCGCCAATCCTTGGAATCAACTAGACGTGTAATATAACCAACACCTACTGTCTCTATGTTCTATTAATTCTATTATTTCTACCTACACTGAAGGGTCACTGAGCCAGATGATCTCCTCCTGGTTGGTTGTCACTGCCTTTCGTCGATTGAGGAAGGGTTATGGCACGGCATAAATCGTCACCAATACATCACATAGCAAGTTACGACTCCTGAGAGACAATCAACCTGCGAAGTATGTGAAATCTCCAAGTCAAGTTGAACTCAACAAGAAATAATCAGATAAGCGCAGAGAGTTCGTCGTTAACCACGGTAAGACTATTGCCCTCCCTATGGACCGCCATATCCACTATTGTGTACTCGCCTATCAACAGGTAAGAGTGGAGCGCTAAAGCAGAGTACTCTGGCTTTCCCCTACCGGTTTCAGTCGGTGCCAGATCCAGCCTCATCAGGGGGACGCGACTTCGAGATGACGGGTAACCAGGGAGCTACAGGTAATATACTAAACTTATCCATCCTCGTTACTCTATGGGCCTCGCCGCACTACTCTAGACTCTCGAATTTTCGAGAGTGGGCATCGCTGCACTTACTCTTGATTGGGAAACTCTCGAAACCCGATCGAGAGCTGTCAGAAGCCACACTATAATGCAACTCTCGAAACGTCGAGAGTCCCCTGCCTGCAAAAAACTGAATTTGCACGTGTCCTCGGGAGTTGCCCGCCGACGGGCTCGTTTTTCGAGAGTGGACCTCCTGTCCCGGCGGCGAGACTTTGTCCCGTAGAGCAGTGGTGCAGCTGTTCGGTAGAGTAGGACGACACCCAGGGTTTCGAGAGTTCACCTAGTGTAATAGGTTATAGAGTAAGTGCAGCGAAGGAGGGTATTTCGAGAGTCTGGCCTCTCTGACAATGCTAGCCGAACTCTCGAAATATTTCGGGAGTCTAGAGTAGTGCAGCGAGGCCCTATCTCACCCTCGTAACTTCCCCGTATTCCCACACGTTTCCCAGAAATTACGGTCGGCCTAGTCTGTTATTTTTCCTGCCCAGTTACTGTCCATCACATTCAGACCTGTATTCACCGTACCTTCGTAACTTCCCCGTATTCCCACACGTTTCCAAGAGTTACCGTTGGCCTAGTCTGCTAATTTTCCGGTCCACCACATTCAGGGCATACTCACACCAGGACTTTTTTCTTATTTCTTGACGGAATTGCGACCAGATGCATACAGGTGTGGCGGAAATTACGGCCTGATGCATTCTGGAAAGTGCTAGTGTGAGTATGCCCTCAGACCTGTATTTAACGTATTTCAGAGTTCCAATCTGAAATCCGAAATCCACAGTAAATCCTCAGGCTATCCGGCCTGTCAGATCTGCTTTGTCTGCTTTGTCTTTTTGCTCCGCTGTTCCACACGGTTTACTCAGTCAGTCCTCTTCTTACCTACCTGCTCGTCAAATTCCCAAGCTCCAGCCCCGTCTACCGTCTTCCCCCGAACATAACGCACCCTAAAAATGAATGTATACAAGTTATATTTCCGGCGAGATACAGCCAAAATAAGGGTGCGTTGTGTTCGGGGGAAGACGGCAGGATTCTGCTCAGTTCTAGCGATGTTCCAAAGGTAAATATTTCCCTCGCTATTATCCTCTTCACCATCAGCAAAATTTATGTCCCCAGGGTTCTTTTTTCTTAAAAAAACTATACTCTTCTCTCAATTTTTCCTCACACTACCTACCTACCACTACTCCTACCTATAGGCATACGGGGAAACCCGTAGCATACCAGAGCCGTGTTTTTATTCCCATAGCGGTGTGTGTAGAGGTTCTAAAAAAAAAAAAAAAAAAAAGGGCTCACACCCCCAACAGGCTGGGCTACAGAGTTGCACCGCCTTCCCCCCAGCTCCGGCCGGCGTCGCTCCAGCTTCGACCACCAGTTGGCCTCACTTTTTGAATGTATCTGACTGCGATTACGGCCAGACGTGGATGAATCTGACCGCAATCACGTCGAGAGAGAGCTTAGTAGAAAAGAAAAAGTCATAGCGTTAGTGTGCCCTCATGCTGAGTAGCGTTAGTGTGCCCTCATTGCATACTTCCCTCGGCGATTGATGGCCAGAACTCTTTCAAGGTAGCACGAGATGTGATCGCCCGTACCCTCCTCTCTACTGCCCGGGGTCTTGACAGACGATCCGAACTGAAGGATTTTGCTGTTTGGGGAGGGAAACTTCAGGTAGAGTCACAAAAAAACGAGTTATAATTTTTTTTTTTATTATCATTATTTATTTTATGGACTGACTGGAATGTGCTGCCGATGGAATCCATTCTTTTTATGACTGTTTCTTCGTAATTATTATTATTTATTTTATGCACTAACAGCAAAACTCTGACAAAAACCAACTGGCGTAGCTCAGGACATACTCACACGATCACTTTTTTTCCTTATTGCTGGACGGAATTGCGGCCGGATGCATAAAGGATCTGCCGAAAATGCGGTCAGATACATTTAACATAGTGCTAGTGTGAGTACGCCTTCAGTTGGTAGCTTCCCCCTTCAGCTGGCCAAATACAGACCTCAGTTCGAACTCCACTGAGGGCACACTCACACTAGGACGTTTTTACTTATTTCGGGTCGGAATTGCGGCCAGATGCATCCACCTGCGGTCGTAAACGCGGTCAGATGCATTCAAGAGAGTGCTAGTGTGAGTACGCCCTGAAAGCAGATGAGTAAATCTCAGTGGAGTTCGAACTGAACTCTACAAATTCTGAACAGTT